CGATGCGGCACCTGTGCCAAAGCCGATGATCTGATCAAGAGGCGGGCATCACCATTGAAGGAATCTCCTGCTCGTGATGAGGAAGATGAGACATCCGATTGCCCCATGGAGCAAGTCGCTGATGAGAATCCATCCGCCTCTCAACAACCCGAGAATGTCAACATGGAGCAGGTTGATTATGATCGAGATTCCGAGACGATGATTCAGATGAAGAAGGGCATCCTCTCGCAGGAAGGCCTTTGTCAAAGGCGATGCCACATCCGAAAACTTGTTCCACAGTCACCGCCACCGACATTGAGGCTTGTCTCCAAGGTCAAGCCAGCACCAAAGAACATCCTGGATGACGAGACGGAATCCGACAATCATCCTGGTGATCGACCTGCACTTCCAAGGCGACCAATGATGCGGCCTGTTCTCACATCCAATGATCGGTGGTTTGTAACATATGGATCGGATACGAACATCAGCCTCCAGAAGGAATCCGTACACCCAGGACCTTTCGGAAACTCAAAACTCCTGAGTTTTGTGCACGAGTACTACAAGGAATGCTCAACCATCCTCGATGTCAATCCGGACTTCCACTTTGTTCCTGAGCATGAGAGACCACATGGAGTTAAGGTATTCTGGTTGAAGGCAAGATTCAACGACTACTGGCAACCAACACTCCAAGGTGAAGGAAATCATGCAGAGAAGCAATACATGGACTTCATCAAGAAGGTCTACAGCATCTGCTGCTACACCAATGCTCAATCCGAAGTTTACGGAACCGACATCATCCCGATGGTATGCCACAACGGCAACATTGATCTCGAGAAGACCGTCCAGAATGTCGAACAGGTTTGCAAATACTTCCGCATGGAACCATCCAAGGCGAAACAGATCACAGATCTCATCCTCTGGCGAATTGAGAGAATGAGCAGATCGTTTTCCGGATGTCTTCGACATGATCCAAGACATGGAATCCATAAGGAATGCAAACGACAAGTGGAAATGGGTCCTGATGGATCCGTCGAGCTCTATGACGCATTGACCTGCATCACACATACCAGGAACTTCAATGGAAATAAGCCAGGACTTCTCTTGATGGCGATGTTCCCGAGCTATGGAAAATCACGTTTCGAAATTGCGTTCGTATTTCCATCCGTGGACGGGACATATAAGGAGTGCAAGGCACGGGGAGAAATTGTTCCAAGGAATCGATGGATCGATAAGCTCAACACCAGATCCGCACAAAATGCACTCAGGCCCGATGGCAAGGAATTCTATGTTGATTCAGAGATGGAGTTCTATGTGAGATGCAACAGCGGACACACACGACAAGTCGATATCCAATCCTTTGGACGACCCCTGTACTCTGAGCAGAAAGAGCCTCATCACGACGAACCGGACTATGATCTCCCAACGGAATCCATTCCGCCAAGTCCGCATCCGTCAAGATCCGAGGCGCCTCATGGAGATGAAGGCACAGCTCAGCCCAAGTACAGAATGCGAAGGCCGGCACCACCATCCATGGAAGAAGAGAGAAAGATCAAGCCGTTCTTGAAGAAGCCCATCACATTCATGTTCCATGCAACCTATGGAAATCAGCTCTACAGCATCATGGAGCACGGGCTCAAATCTGGGAAATCCCAGTCAAACCCTTCGGGGAGAATGCACGTCGTCCACATGGCATGCATCGATGACGTCATCCTCGAAGACGATGAGTCAGAAGCCGCATTGACCCATGTGCCAGCAGTGTTGATCCTTGCATTTCTCAAGGACCAAGACTGTGGCATCCGCCTCTCCGAAGAGAGAACAGCGTTGACAGACAAAACCATCGAGGCAAGAAACATTGTTGCAGCATTTGAACCTGATGGCAGCCTCATGGCGAGCAACAAGTGGATCATGAAGAAGCATCTCGATCATGAAGATTACGAGATGTACGACACCAAGATCCGCGAATTCGCCGATGCCTTCTTCAATTATGTGAATTCCACCAAGCACAACAAGGAAAAAGATACTTCCTCAGAGACCAAGAAGAGACGGCATTCCACCGATCAGGACTCCACTGATGGAGAAATGATGGAACCCTCCGGGGAAAGCAGAGGAAGAGCTCGCGGGGACCAGGGAAAACCTCACCCGCTTCATGAACCAGTTCAACAAAGATCCAAGAAGAGCTCATCCCAACTTGACAGAGTGCGAGAGAGCCTCATTGGCACATGTCGATCCTGATGTCAATCTCGGTGAAGAAGAATTCTACTTCCCTCATCGAGGAGAATGTCCCACCGTTGACGAGTACAAGCAAGCTCAACCAGGATCCGGATATCCGATCAAGCTTCCGCTTGGATTGAAGAAGCTCAGGTCACATGATGACCCGAAAATCATCCGAGCCTATGCCGATATCCTGGGATCGCTGATGCAGCCGACTCCCACAGTCCTCTCATGGTTTACATCCGCAGCAAATCTGCAACCAGTAAACGCAGCTCTGAGAGATACCAGGATTACATCAAGAAGAAGCAATCGTCCTGGACCCCGCAGGAGTACAAGGACTACAACAAGCAGTGGGGACATCAGAAGCAGTGGAAGGAGTATAGCACTTCGACCTGGAATGATTATGGGGACTATGGCAGTCAATCCGACAGCAGCCGCCGATGGTATCGTCGATCCGACTGACCATGAAGATACGTTCAGCACTACGAACAATCCAGATGATTGATCCTCGTCGTCTACAAGACTATACCATGAGTGAGAGATCAATAGTTTCACAACCGTTCCGCGTGTACATAGCGTTGTACATCACCCTTTGATACATTTAGGTATCCAAAAAGAAGCAGTACATAGTGTTTCCCATTTCGAAGGCCAAGACATTTCATCCAAGCAGAAAAAGGATGAATCCGGCACTTTTAATCACATGGCTACGGTCAAAGGCCATGAAGCCAATAGTATTTCATACTTTGTGCTGGAGATCAAAAGAAATTTGTGTCTGTTTTGTGTTCTGTTTTTCAGACCAGTGATCTCCCGCAACATTTGGCTCAAGGGCCCCTTTTGCAGAATCACGACCATCCGAGCGTGAAGACAAAAGACCATTGCAGGCCGCTACGGGATTATCCACAAGACAATCCACCAGGGACAATCCATCCTCCAATCATCCATTACTGGCATATTGGACTCTCTCCGGAATAGATCCAGGGACCAACAACGACCTCAACTACCACCCACCCACCCCCCGCCCCACCCCCCACCCACCCCACCCACCCCACCCACCTACCCACCAACCCACCCCCACCAACCCACCCAACCCACCAACCCACCCACCCCGCACTCTTACCCACCAACCCCATGAGCTCCTATCCCCGGACGGAACTGGAACCCTGTGGTGTGTTGGGGTCGGGTGGGTTGGTGGGTAAGTGCGTCGGGTGGGTGGGTGGGGTGGGGGGTGGGTTGGGCGGGTTGGTGGGCAAGGGGGTGGGGTGGGGTTGGTGGGGTGTGGGGTGGTGGGTGGGTGGGTGTGGTGGGTGGGTGGGGTGGGTTGGGTGGGTTGGGTGGTGGGTTGGCGGGTAAGTGGGTTGGGTGGGTTGGGTGGGTTGGGCGGGTTGGGGCTGGGCCTTGTCTCTGCGGGTTGCCAGTTTGACTGTAGTCTAGTTTCGGGCGGGCTGGGCTTGGCCTTGCTCTAGTTTCAGACACGTCAGACAAGCCTGAGTGGGTTGCTGGTTGGGCCTGAGGCTAGTATCAAACATCATGTGGTTGGGACTGGGCTGCTGGCTGCTGGTTGCAAACACAGGCCTGGGCTATCTTGGCGGCTGGGCCTTGCTTTGGGTTGGTTCACGCCCATGGATCTGTCCAAAGATGAGGTCATGTACGGGTTTGTGACACGGGCCCCGCCCAGGTATAATCCACGATCTTCTACCGGAGCGAGGATTCGTGCTTCGAAGGGAGGTATGCCGAGCTCGAGGACCTGAATCTGGACTTCGAGGACCGGATCGGGCAGATGGTCCATGATCGAGACCATGCTCGGCGGGATCACGGAGTGTACGTTTGCTTGTACGCGGGCGGGAGCCTGGAGAGGATCGAGACCAAGGACAGTGTCGGCGCCCCGCATTTGTCGGTGGTCGTCGCCTCGGATCTGGCCAAGGTCATGGTCTGTCTTCGACACGGAACACGTCGAGGCCATATCCAAGTCTGTGTGTTTCGCAGCAGACGAGGCCGTCGAAGCTTTAATCAAGACTGTGACCGCGTTGGTGTACCAGCTCTTGTTTGTGCTGTCGGGCTGTTAACCGTCAGTGCGAAACACACGTTTTAGCAACTGCGTTTCGTTTCGTTTTGGCGCTGCACACATGCCAGCCAAATGGTGCGCACACCCGCTCACACGCACCCGCTCAGCATTGTATCCATGCCAGCCAAATGGTAAGCCCACCCGTCATGCGCACCCAGCACTGACTCCATGCCAGCCAAATGGTAAGAACACCCGCTCGGCACATCCGTCCCTCACAATATCGCGTCTTGCGCCGCGCTCCGTATAGTAGCGCCGCAGGTGGGTGGGTGGGGTGGGTGGGGTGGTGGGTTGGTGGGTGAGTGGGGGTGGGTTGGGTGGGTTGGGTGATGGGTCGGGTGGGTGGGTGTGGGTGGGTGGGGGGTGGGGTGGGTGGGTGGGTGGGTGGGCGGGTGGGGTGGGTGCGTGGGGTGGGTGGGGTGTGGGGTGGGTGGGGTGGGTGGGTGGGGTAAGTGGGGTGGGTGGGGTGGGTGGGTGGGGTGGGTGGGTGGGTGGGGTGGGGTGGTTGCGGGCGGGTTGGGGGTAAGTGCGTGGGGTGTGTGGGGGGGTGTGGGGTGGGTGGGTGGGGTGGGTGTTAGGGGACGCCGGGTAGGTAATGAACAGGTTCCAGCCTGCATGACGTGTGTGTGTGTGCGTGTGTGGCATCGTGGGCCTGTTTTTTCTAGGACTCTAGGCCTAGGTTTAGGGTTGACCAGCCTGACCAGCCTGACAACGGTGAGCGACTCCCATGCCACGCCAAACCGCATCTCAGGTTCGACATCGTGTCGCCGGTGCGATCCGTGCCCAGCTCGGTGCGGAGAGGGGATGGACAGAATCAACTTCGCAGGGATCGATGAAGCCTTTTTTTTGAATAACCGGATAAGCCGACCGGGCAGGATTTTGTCCATCCACAGTACCCTTCGGGCTTTTAACTTCGTTGAGTCTAGCGTGCTGAAAGCTTGACTTTTGGCAACGGACCAACGAACAACCAAGCATTGTTGAGTGAACATGACTGATTTTATGGTTCTGCCTTTCAAAAGGCTCATACACATTGGACAAACCGCGGGTGCCTCTTTAGCTCTGTGGAAAATCACGGGGTACACCACGCTTTGATTGTGGCACCTGGCCCGGCCTCGCCTACAGAAGCTGAAGTATCTTTTGTTTGAGGCTAGGTACCCTTAGTGGGGTTGGTTTTGAAGGGGAGCCAAAAGGACGCCATTCATTTGAGAAACATCCACATCTACCAAATGTTGATGCGTGGCCTATGCATTTGGTAAGGTGCAAATTCTTATTAGCGGTGAACAAAGCAGAGTTGGTTGCGTTCGCATAGACTCACTCCTTGAGTTCCTGAACTTGGGTCAAACGGCTTTGACTTTTCTGAGGGAAAATTCTCAAACGTGGTTGGTGGACACGTTTCTCCCCGAACTCGGACGTCCACCAAAGCCCCAACTGAAACTCGCATCCAACAAATGCATCTTAAAATGGGGGCCCCGCAACAAAAAACAGCGGGGGGGGGGGGCGGATTTTTCCAAGAGCGGGTGCCCTTTGGAGCAAACAGGGGAGTGCCAAACATGACAAAAATATCAAAGATCCGAGCCTGCGAGGTCTGGGACGTGCTGAAGCGCTCGCCCAAGGGCGTTGAGCTCTTGGAGGAGGGAGGGGTGGTGCTGGTGGTGGTTATGTTTTGAGGCTCGGTTCTTGGCGTTGGGCACTTGGAGTTATATCTCTAGGGGAAACTTAACCCATTCTGAACCCAGGGATCCGGATCTTTCTAAAAACCACCAAAAACCCTGGGGAAATGGATCTGGTTTTTGAAAGGAATGGCTGAAAAGAATGGACAAGGACTCAAGCCCTAGAAGAACCCCCTACAAGGTTAACCCCACTTCGGGGGACTTACAAGTGGGTTCATAGGCGTCCTTTTTGGTTGATTTGGTTGACAAAAAGAGGGCGATTCCTGGTTTACTTGGTGGTTCAATCAACTACCAGGGCCGTCTATCTTCCCAAAGAGGACACCTATGAGTGGGTTGTTACCTTGGCGGAACCAACCACTTTGTGAACTTGGCGGAACAAAGGGTTTTTTGAGGGTCTGGATTTTCGGAGAAGGGTTTGGATTTTTGGGGATTTTCACTTCAACCCTGCGGGACAGATCGCGAGGATTGGCTTGTGGAAAACCGGCCCAAGCCAACTCGCTAACCACAAACTGGAGGGAAGCTGCTACTCAAAGGTCTCGGGTTCCGTTTGAGGCCAACCCAACCGGCCGGCTCGGTTCTAATTGATTCGGGTTCCCATGGCCTGCGCCATTGGTCGGGTCGCATCCGATGTCGGAACCCAGTAGGGATCTCAGCACGGACATGCTCTTGTCTCGTCGGAGTTTTCCAACGACCCCTCCACGTCCACCCGGGAGGGCTCCACTTCAGGGGATTTCGAGTTTTCGGTGAACCCATGCGGTGCTCGTAACACCAAGGCATTGGAGTTTCTGAGAGAGGGTCTTACCAGGAAAACGGTCTCACCACCGAAGAAACCAAGAAGTAGGGAGTCGACTCGCCATGAAAACAACACGTAGAATGGGAAACTGGGAAACTGTTTTTTTTTGGGACAATTGGGAAACGGGGAAGCTCCAACCAAGCCGTGAAAGGCGGGCAACTGAGAAAGTGGGAACTGGGAAGCTGAAGACTTGGGGAACTGAACGGGGGGCAAACCAGGCAACGAACTGGGAACCCGGAAGCCCGGCAAGAGGGGGTTTTCTCTGCTTGGTGAAGAGATTTCTCACGCTGGACATGTCGCTTCTGGTCTTCAGCATGGTCTTCGCCTTCTGCGTCTACAACCCTTTCATGGCTCATACTGTGGATGGTCATGCTTTGGTAGGTTGTGTATCCCAGCAGTTTGAGGGCTTCATCAATCCCAGCCGTTGCAGGATTTCGGCCATTTCCAGTAGCTCAACGAGCAGATCAAATCAGGGGTTCGTGCCCACCTTTGAGTTCATACAGTCAGCATTTGACATCTCAAGCCAAAACAGGGTGGGCCCGGGGGCCCGCCATATTTCCTCGTTGGGTGGTTCCAATCATCACCTCTTGGGCCGTATTGATGCGAGCTTCGTCTTGCTGGGGTGACGCTCAAAGCCGAAAACACCAGCCACGTGTTTTGTTTGAATGCTTCAGTTGGGCTTGTTTTCCGCGGGGCGCGGGGGGTTTTGGAGGACCCCCAACTGAAGATCGCGACGATGGAGATCATGAGCGAGGCACCAATCGAAGCTTCGTTTCGAAAGGAAGCGACGTTTCGGGCCCGGCAATTTTTTTAGGGGCTACATGAGCAAGGGTCAATTGCCATCATCTACGGTAGTAAAGGGAATGATATTGGCTAGGTCCCCCAGTAGTGCCCTTTTGCCCTTTTTAAGGGTTGTGGGTTCCCCTACTAAAATAGACTACAGAGAAAAGTTGGTACCCTTATTCTAACCTCTCTACTGGAGGACCTAGTTGGTTATACTCATCAAATTATTATTCTGACTTGTTAAGTTGGCAAACTTCAAGGTTACCAGGCTTCCTCATTAGTCCATGCCCAATACGTTTGCACTTTCGGGCCAGTCGACTCGGGTCAGGATTAGAGTATTCCCAAACTCCTGTGATTTATACTCCCCCCGTTATTCTCAAAGTTGGGGTGGGGGCGCTGCAAGCAAGAAATCCCTACTAAGAACGGAGCCTCCCGATTCTTAACTTGGGCTGGATGACTCAGCGGTTGGCTTTGACGATGGTTGACGCCTGCACCGATGACATTTGGTTTCGTTTCCCCATGTCCCTGTTCGAAAGAATTTGGGCCTTTTCAATTCTTCTTGATGTTCAACGGGGGCCCGGCTATGATGTTGTCAGCCAAGGTTCAACATCAAGCCCCCAAAATGGTTGTGTCCATGTCCTCAACAAACACGCACCCAGACCGTGGATAGAAATGTTGTTTGCACCAGCTGTGATGGACGAAAACTCAACGAATACACCAGGTGCCTGGCGTAAATGTTGACCATCCACAGTACGCAGTGGAACCGCTGAACAGGGTTCTATTAGTAGCATAGAAACCAGCTACAAGAACTTCTACGGGAAATCGGCCAAACACCGGCCGGCAAAATGGATAAGTTCTTGTGGCGGGTTGTTTGTTGATTGCCAACGGGAATAACAACCAGGGTTCCCCTGTCTTGAGCTGAATGGACAGGACCCCATCAAAGTGTAGAATTAATTTTGCTCCAATCTTGTCCCACATGTGGCACAACAAACGCTACACACTACGTGACGCACGTTGTCCGCGCTTTTTGAGTTTCAAGAGAAAGGGACGCCTCCCAGTGTGGGGCTTCATATCGAGACGCTTTGTATCACTTTGTACTGGGGCTTGCGAAATATGAGGATGCAGTACAGGGTTGCCTAAAGGTTTTGGCCATGAAAAAGATATTCACCAGATTCAGGGATCCCCTTGTGCAGAATGTGTACGGGATCTGATTTGTACAAATGGGTGTGAATTTCAGTAGGTGGACATAAATCTCTGAATCTGTTGTCTGTTTGTCTGTTTGTCTGTCTGTCTGTCTGTCTGTCTGTCTGTCTGTCTGTCTGTGTCTGTCTGTCCGTCCGTCCGTCTGTCCGTCCGTCCGTCCGTCTGTCAGTCAGTCAGTCAGTCTGTCTGTCCGTTTGTGTTTGTCTGCGTTTTGTTTGTGTTTGAAACCTTTTTTTGTGATGTGTGTGTGTGTGGGACTGTCACATGGGTCCAAAGTTGTCCTGAATGTTTGCTCTAGATTTTTGGGATTCCTGGGCAGGGGATGTAGCCAGAGTCCCTTGCATCACCGGCATCACCAGACGTTTCCAAAAGTGGCAGTTTTAGTTGAAACCACAAGTCAATTGCAACTTTTGAACGGGACTTCCAGTGACCCCTCTAAAACTAACCAACAGTCCATGAAGAAAGCTTGGATCAACCGCCACAATGGTCCAAGCCAAAGCGCCGTGACCCGCGTGGGGGAACCCAACGGAGGCTGGACCAAGAGTTTCGATGTGTCACAGGCGACATACTTTTGGCAAACGCCGGGAGTGAATCGAGCTCCGTGAAGGTCTCTTACTGGGAGTTGCCTTGGTTCCAGGTTGGGAATTATAGTGACAAGCACGGACAATTGATTAGAGAGCCATCGCAAGGATTCCTGTTGGAGCCACTTATTGCATGGCCCATAGTTTTGGAGTCTTGACCGGCATTTTTTCCGACCTCATCCAACTCCTCTTTATCGATATGCCAACTATGTGTGTTTACATATATATATATATATATATAAAATACGCGTGCGTTTCTCAACATGCTGGACCGCTTGCTTTTTTGTCTTGATTTGAAGTGGACATTAAACAACGGAAGCCACCCATTGCAGTGTTCCGAACGATTTTGAGACAAGCCACATATAGTCCACATGGGGCTTGATCTGCTAAGAGGACCGTTTCAAGGCTCTTTGAACGCGGCCTAGGGGAAGAGCTGGCTGCCCAGTGGTGTTTGGGGCGCAAGCGCTTGAGGTGAAGCCCGAATTTCGGGTTCCAACCTGTCAAGCAACCTCGGAGGCCAATCCACAAATTCATCCGGTGCCCTGTTGTTGGTTTGGGCGTTTTTGGGATTTGAATCTCTGGTAGTCGCAGGTACATGGGAAACCACCCAAACCTCCAGACCTCAAACCACCGAGCTCCAAATCACCTGGAAGGAACCTGACTTGGGGTTGGTTTTCCAGGGAGTTCTTCAGCCCACAAACCGCGACCGGTTTCCTACAGCGCCACCGTTCAAGCTGTGTGGGCACCGGGCGGAAGAAAACACAGTCGCATGTCGCATGTCGATTCGTTGGCATCGCCGGCTTTTCCTCTTTTGAGTCTGTGGATAAGTTCCAGCTGGGATGGATGACGCCCGGTTTGCATACTGGTTGATCAATCTGGCAACTGGTGCCTTTGTACACACGAGGGGCTTGAGCTCAACCGCGTCCCTCGTATTGCTCACCTATGGCCGTTGAACCTGCTGGGTGTGGTAAGCCTCGAGGCAGAATTTTCACCCCAGTCAATCAGTGGAATGGCAGCCCTCGATGCCCTTGACATGGGCAAAGCTAGACACATGTGCCTTGAATGATAAAGCCCGCATGGGGAGGTCTTGCCATCTGCTTGAGGCAGTCCTAAAAGGGCACGGCACCCCGATTTGTGTCTCCTCCATTTGGACTTCACGGGTACGTGTGTTTATTAAAAGTGCTCGTGGGATTTCACCTGGTCAAGTGGCCGGTCCCTTCGCCACATCGTGCGAGGCATGCAAATGGGTCTGTCTTCTTTTTAAGAACCGGACCCCCGACCCCCCAAGAACGGTGGTGTTCCTTTTGGAGTCCCTTTAAACCCACCCCAACAGCTGCACCGAGCCTCAAAAAAAACACACACCCAACTACTGCGGCTGAAAAGAAGCCGAAGAGCAGCACCGGGAACCAGGGGCATTGCGAGGTTTCAAAGGCCGGCCAGGACTCTATATAGCCAGCAACCACGCCGAACTTTCACAGATATGACTTGAACGCCTGAAGAGGGAGACTTGGATTGATTGACTGGAAGCTGTTGCAGCTCCGCTTTTACAGGAGCGGTTCTCTGAAGGGTCACACATCCTTGAAGCTAAACTAGGTCGCCCAGCAGTGCCCTTTGACCGATTCTTTTTTGCGGGAGGTTGCCCTGCTAAAATAGACCACGGAAAAAAGGGGGTACCCTTGTTCTAACCTCTCTACTGGAGGACCTAGTAAAAGGTCAGCTGAAAACGTTGTTGGGTCTCGGGCCCCCCCTCATTGGGCTGACTCTTCTCCTTGAAATCCATGTGGATGTTTTTTTTGTTTCCAAGCTCACGTAGCGTGCAACCAAGTTTGTAAAGACCTTCTACGCACGTGATAATTTTCAGGATGTTTTTTCTGTTTCTTTTGATTTCCCCAAGGGTACCCTGAACTGGGTTTTGCCAGTAGGGCCCTTTTACCCTTTTTTGAGGGAGGGTTCCCCTCCAAAAATCGACTACATAAGAAAGGGTACCCTGATTCTAACCTCTCTACTGGAGGACCTGTTCAAGGAACCCATACAAACCTGCGTAGTTCGCCATGTTGGGTGCTCGCCATTTGGGTGGACAGCCGGGGGGGGGGGGGCGGGGGGCGTCTGGTTTTCACCCAGGCCGCGTTCAGATCCAGCGCGAGATCAAGGCGAAGGAGGCCCGTGGTTGGTGTGACGTCCGCCCCCGGGCGGGGCCCTCCGTTTTGGGGTGCCTGGATCCCGGATCGCCAGTGGCCGTTTTTTTTTTGGTTTGCTTCTCTTTTTTTTCCCATGCACTTTACCCCCAAAACCAGCAAGAGTGACTGAACAAAGCAGCAACTTTCCTATCTAGGTTGGTTTAAGTGGACATCGAGAGAACCGCCATGTTGGGTTCCGTATCTGCCCGGTTTTGGAGGAATTGAGTATCTTTCTCATCAGGGACGAAAGGGACAGAGATATACCTGCCTGGTTTTGGAGGAATTGATTGTCTACTTCATCAGAGGATGGCCTCACAGAGTTCATAAGCTGGAGAGTGGTCGGGATGGTGAAGACTCTTGTTCGTCACTTTGGAAACTCCTCTATTTGGGTGTGGCTTTTAGGGTACCCCCGGACTGTGGTGTTAAAGGGAAGCCAAGAGGAAACCACCATTTTGAGGGATTCCCCCAAAAAACACCCTTGTAAGTGAGTTAGACAAAAACAACAATCCCCTGTAATGGGAATAATACCTCGAACAAGCCACTGAACGGACATCCTCAAGATTTGTCTAGAGGTTTAATGGCACACTTCCCCGTCCAACTCGCTCATCTTCCCCAAACCATGCTGGTTTTCCTTTTTGCCCCATTGACTTCATCACATAAGACTGCTTATTTAAATGAAGTTCAGGGGACAGATTTGGTTGGCTGCTTTGGATGAAACTCCAGGATTTCAGCTATGCGTACAGGAAACCCAGTTTTTCTTCTTCATCAGCAAGCTAAGATCTTCCAAGGCTATACAGGTGTTTGTTGACTGCTTCGACCTTTCTCGCACCTACAAATCGGTTTGTTGCCGGAAAATGGTGGCTTCGCTACATGCATCAATCTGTCATTTTTGATCAATACAATTTTACCCCCAGAACAAAAACCAGCCTTTGTCGCTTCGCCCACCGAAACGACCCCCCCCCCCCCAAAGCAAAAAAAGACAAACAGCGCCTGCCGCGCAGCCGAACCCAGCGAGCCGCAACCGCCGAATCATTCGCCGGCCAGTCCGCCATCAAGAGCCTCTCCGCCAAGTACTGCTCCGTGGCACGGAGGCGGAAGCGGCACTACGGCCCGGGACGCCCGGGCTCGAGGGGCGGAAATTTTCCTCTAGCCCCCAGCGATTAGTGCTCTTTGACCGTTTCTTTTTTTGGGGGAGGGTTCCCTACTAAAATAGACTACAGAAAAAAGGGTACCCTTATAGCCGTTCTGGTCCAAAACCATTAGGGCTCAGGGATCGGGCTCCCAGGGCCTGGCGACACTCCCCTGTGCGTCAGGCGTCCACCAAGCCACGGTCTCCTCCGTGGCGCCCCGCTTCCTTTTGTGCGCGGCCCCCCTGGCCTGCTCTGCTGTGTGGCGGCGGTCTCTTGCGTGTTGGGGCTCTGTCTGCTGCTGCCTGGTGGCCATGTTGTCTCGGGACCCTGCGGTGCTGCGGGCTTTGTCTGCCCTGTCCTCTACCACTCTGGCCACGCTTGATGCCCTGATGTCTGAGATGGTTTTCTTTCAGGATCCAGACCCTGAGGCCTGGCGCGGTCATGCTGAGCTTCACTTCAGGGTTGAGGCTGGGATCTCCCCAACGGAGTGGGCGTGCTCTGTCTTTTCCCCTGGTCTCCCGCCTGACCTGCATGCCACTCCCCGGGTGCGCCGGCTCATGTTTGAGATGCTTCTGAGAGCCCCGGCGCAATTTACCACGCTCCTCAACCGGCCTGGTTGTCACTTCAGGGTGAAAGGAGCGTCCTTGGTGGCCGGCACCATGCCTCGTGTGGCCTTGGTGGACCTTGACTCGCAGGTCTGGATTCTCCCTGACCCTGACTTTGGTGCTCCGCTGGCCGTCACTCACCTGTTTGCGGGGTCCTTTCATGGATGGGGTCAGGCTGCTGAGGCCATCAGGCAGTTGGTGGGCCTGGACATCCAGCAGGAGCTCATGGTGGACTTCTCGCCACAGGTTGTTGCCTCGCTGTGTGTTGCGCGGATGTTCCTTGCGTGCTCCCCGTCAACCTGACCAGTTGGGATCCTACCCCTTCCCAGGCGGTGATCCTTTCGGATGTGGCTGACCTTGGGTTGTTGCATGTTGTCCCATGGGTGGGCACTCATGTTGCCACTGCCTCGCCGCCTTGCCCTCCGTGGTCTCGAGCTGGTGAGCAGGATGGTCTAGGGGATCCCCATGGCATGTCCTTTGTGGCTGCCTTGGCGTGGGCTCGGGCTGCTGCCCCTCTGGCTCTGCTCATGGAGTGTGTTGATGGGTTGCCGGATCATCCGCACTTCCCCATCATACTTGCCGCTATACAGTGGGCTGGCTACCGGGTGCACCACTCTCTGGTACATGACCACGCCACCTTTGGTCCATGCACCAGACGCCGTTGGCTTGCCACTTTGCTGCGGTGTGATGTCGAGGTGTCTGAGCCTGCCCCCACTGCCTCCTTTGGTGACCCTGTGCCTGCGCCGTGGACTCACCAGGATTTTCAGGTGCAGGAAGCCCCTGAGTTTGATTTTGCGCGTTTGCTTGATGACCAGGTCCTCCGGCACTACACCAATCCTGCCTTCCTGCCTGGTGCTGATTCTCACTTGCACACAGCGCAAGAGGTCCTCCAGAGGCGGCTGGCCCCTACTGATCAGCCGCTGCGCACACTCTGTGCTCGGTACTCCCAGCAGCATATCCTTGCTGCTGCTACCCTGGCTGACAGGGGGCTGTTCGCCCAGCTCACCCTTGTTGCCCAGCTTTCTTCTGGTGTGGAGGCGCTACCCTGTGGTCCTGCCATGCCCGGATGGCCGCGCTGCCACGGTTCAGGAGCTTTTGGTACACTTCAAAGCAGCTTGGCACTGTGTCACCCGTAGGGCCCCACTTGCCTTCCCAGGTAAGTGGGAGCCCCGCTTGGGTGCGTATGCGGTGCACTCCAGAGGAGGATGCCTTCCTTGAGCGCGCACGGCTGCGGGCAGCCAGGCTTGGCCGCGTCCCTCGCGATTGGGCCTTTTCACTTGGGTCCCTCGCTTGACAGTGCAGTGGGTGCAGTGGTGGTGGAGGCCCGGAGCTTGTGGCCCCCTTTTCTGGGGATGCTCCTGGCCGCGGCGCTGCTGGCCTCGTGGTGGTGCGCATGGAGTTGTGGGCGCTGGTGGTGTGGGCGTCCTGCCCTTGGAGGATCCGTGTTTCACCTCGTCGTGTGGAGTGCCTCTTTTTCTTTCTGCCACAGTGGCTGTGGTATGTGTCACTGGTGGGCACCTGTCCCACCAGGCCTGGACAGATGGTTGGGGCATGCCCCTCCGTCAGCCGGCGAATCGTCGCCCGCCGTGTGCCAAAAGGGTGCCCTTATTCTGACCTCTCTACTGCAGGACCAGGTTTTTCGCGCGCCGAAGCGTCCCCGCGGAGTTCCCGGCGATTTGTCTTCGATTTGGCAATGGGTTGTTCGGAGTCCCCGGCGTCTTTGATCGATTTGGGAATGGGTTAGTCGGATTCCCTGGCGATGTCTGTTGCGATTTGGTTTGTTTGGGGAGTTTCCCGAAGGGAATCAACGGGAAGGAGCGCTGAGAGAGATTTTTCCTTGGGGAGCCAGGGATGGTTTGTGGGTTCGGACATGAAGCCGAAGGGAATCCCCTTTAAGAAGATTAGGGGTCCCTGATTCACTGCCTTGGAACCAACCGGTTTGCGGTTGTTGCGCGACTGGTTGCCAGGTTTGACTTTGTGCAGATGTCACCAATGGTGTTAGGATTTAGTGTTTTTGGGCTTCTTTGCTTTCGGGTTTCGCGTGTTGGAGTTGAACAGTTTTGGACCTCTTTTAAGTGATTTTGCATTTCGCGATAAACTGGTGCCTAAACAATGGTGCGGAAGGGAGAGGTAGGATGGGACCTCGTTTGAAACGAATGCAAATAGGTTCCCATGAACACCAGCCAGTTGCTTTCAGAGCGGCTGGACCTCCACTACTTCCTTGTACGAATTTGTTTCACCTTTCGAGGGTCTCTAAATGGAGGTGGGTGTCTCTCTGCGTGCGTGTGTGTTACAAATTGGGGAACCAAATGGGTTCCTTTGCTTTTTTTTTCTCTTCTTTTTTTGTTTTTCCCCAACAGCTGAAAGCTTTGGGGTCTCCAGATAGGCTCCGGGCCTGAGGTAAGGTTCCACGAGGTTCTGCGAGGGCTGCGGGGTGGTGCGAGCACTAAAACGAGCACCGCATGCTGTTGGGGATATCACCTGAGCTTATTTTTCTTCCGTGAACACCAGCCAAAAATGAGGTTCCGCCGAGAAGAAAACCAAACTTTTCAAGAGCCCCAATGTTTGGTTGGGGGGAAACGCAGGTCAAAGACGTTGAGGGGTCCGGGGATTCAAAGTCAGTCGAAGAGTCTGAGTTTTGAGGGGGTTCCCAAGAATGTTCACGAGAGTTGATGTTTGAAGTTCACCAGGTCACCAGGGTTTTAGTCGAAGGGCCCCCGACTCGATCGCATGAGGCGGCATCTATTCCACCTGGAACTTGCTCCGCCGGGAGCCCGGCGACTTTCCGGGATGCCCCGTGCATTCGTGGATGCCCACAAATTTTCGTGCCGGGCCTCCCCCACGGTTTTATCTTTTGGGGTAATTCTGCGATGTTCCACAAGGGCGCTTTTGCCCGCTTTTCTAGGGGTTGATTCCCCCATTCTTTCCAACCATCGTCCTTTTCAAGAACCAGCTATTTTCGCCGGGTTTCCGGAGGTTCTCTAGAAAGAAGGATCCCTGGAAAGAATGAAAATGCAGGGTACCCTAGAGCTTTTGGTTGATAATTCCAAGGGAAACAAAGGACACCAGCCAGGGGGACAATTTTGAGACCCCCCCCCCGTACGCAGAAGCCGTTCTTGCGTTTTTGACTTTGTGTGTACCCCAGTGGGGCAAGACTGGGGTGTTCAGCGAACGTTTTCTGTGGATTAGCACCATGAAACAGCAAACGCCGGGTGCCAAACAAACCACGGTTATAACCTACTTCCCATAGGTGTCCTTTTTCGGTAAGCTTGGTTAACTATAGATGGCACGGGTTTGGATGGGTTTTGTTCCATGTACCAGGGCCATTTATTTTTCCAAAAGGCCACCTATGCTACTTCCTGAGTAGGTTGAAGATTCAAGTAGTTGGTAAGGAAAAGCCATGCAACATCTGGAGGTAAAGTCCTGGCTGCCTGCAGTGGCTTGGGGGTATTGAACAAAACAAGTTTGGGGTCTCTAAACGTATGTGGGTTCTCAGAGCATATTTTATAGTATAGGGTAGTAGACTTCAGATGAACCAGAACCTGAGCATCTCATTTTTGTGCACCCCGAAACCCTGGAAACCTCTGGGGGATTGCCCCGTGATGTCATGTCTAGAAAGCCGGGCATGGCTGCGCCGCATAAGGGTGTGCGCCGAGGGAGCACTCCAAGCGACACGGACCACTCGGCTTGGACCGCTCTTGGGGAATCAACAAAGTGCCGTGTAGAAGCACATTTTGGAGGGGGTCCTCCCCAAAAAAGACATATCGAATTCCTGCAAAGAAAGATGATCCGCTGACCACGGCATCAACGGCCTCCTGCATCGGAGCTGGGGTGGGGGTGATGCTGGTAATGTTGGTGGTGCTGGAGATGCTGGTGCTACTGGTGATGGTGGTGATGCTGATGATGCGTGCGATGCTAGCTGGTTTGCATTTCTTGAAAACAAGCGATGGCTCAATTCCCTACACACCGCTACACCTCACAATCAACCCTTTCACCAACCTCATTTGTGTGTGTGTGTGTGTGCGGGTGCGGGTGCGGGTGCGGGTTGGGTGTGGGTGTGGGTGTGGGTGTGGGTGTGGGTGTGGGTGTGGGTGTGGGTGTGGGTGTGGGTGTGGGTGTGGGTGTGGGTGTGGGTGTGGGTGTGGGGGTGTGGGCGTGGGCGTGGGCGTGTGTGTGTGTGTGTGTGTGTGTGTGTGTGTGTGTGTGTGTGTGTGTGTGTGTGTGTGTGTGTGTGTGTGTGTGTGTGTGTGTGTGTGTGTGTGGGTGTGGGTGTGGGTGTGGGTGTGGGTGTGGGTGTGGGTGTGGGTGTGGGTGTGGGTGTGGGTGTGGGTGTGGGTGTGGGTGTAAGTGTGGGTGTGGGTGTGGGTGTGGGTGTGGGTGTGGGTGTGGGTGTGGGTGTGGGTGTGGGTGTGGGTGTGGGTGTGTGTGTGTGCGCGCGCAACCGAATCTGCAAGTTCTCACAAGATCACCCCCAGACCCTGAAAAATACGACTTGGATTCGATCTCCAAGTGACGGACCTCTTGATCAAGGCAAGCTTCTGCTCTGCCCACTCCGCCTTCTTGGGGTACTCCTTTCCGGGATTTGCTGGGGACCCAAAATGGTGGATGTCCATTCCAACCATTTGGGCGGGTATGTCATGGCCAATATGGGTATGGTTCAAGACTCGACGACCAGGATAGGCCGGTTTTCGGCGGTTCCAACTACACCAGGGCAACCCATTTGGGGCTTACCCTATTTTCGACCCATCTGCACCCCTTGCGTATGCCGTCCCAAGGCTCCTACCGGGAGTCGGACTCCGAAGACGTCAACGATGGGGACGAGCTGTCAGAGGCCGAAGACGACGGGAGACTGCCCCAGAGGGGCGCCAGCGCCTACCGAGCGGGTGGTTTCATTTATGTTTTTGGCCAACTGAAGTTGGACAGGTGCCTCCAGCTTGAGTTGTTGGACACCTAGGTTTTCTCTCACTTTGACTTGGCTTGGGCCCCTTTTAGAAGTGGGGTTCACCTTCTTACTTAGGGGGTGTGACACAGGAGGTGCCTAATTGCTTGTCAACTTGGCGAATCGAAGATCCAAGCAGACAGCCAAGTTGCGATCGCTGGTTTGTGTCTTCCCCAGGCGCTTCAAATCAAAACAAATCCGCCACGTTTGGGGCTGATCGATCGTGTGGTTCTCTGGTTCTGGGCGATGTTTCACGAAGGAAAAGCTGCCTCCATCGGATCGACTCCAAAACCTCCCTGGGCTGTTCCTCTTGTAGGACCCCTTACATCCCATGGCGAGATGGGATTTTGCCCCAGACGCTGGAACCTCGGCCTTCGATCATCAATGACGCTGGGGGGGGCGCGGGAGTGGGGGGGGGGGCTCGGCACTCTAAGATGGGCGTTTTTGTGGCCACTTTTCGGTTTGGACCATTTGGCGCACGTGGACGTGCCTGTTTGTTGAAAGCAAAAGGACAACCACCCATTTTGGGGTCCCCTCAAAAGAGGCGACGCCTGCGTGGATGAGCTTGTTGGCCAAACTCAAGTGAGATGATCAGCTTTTGGGACTGAAGCTCAGACTGAGCATGGAGCTTGAAGGGCCAAAAGACCTTGGTGTGTCGTTTCGGTGGCTTTCCTTTGGGCTTCCCTTTCAAACCTCAAAGGGGTATGCTGGGGCCAGCGATGCGTATTCTTCAACTAGATGTTCGAAAGCAGAAGGATACTTGTTCCAAAGGGCCAGATTTCACGGCACATATTATCTCCCTCATTTGTAGGTGTCCCTCCCCCCAAAAAGAGAGCTTCTGGAAGTCCTTTTGCCTTCAAGTTGAGGACATACCCTCAACATGCGTCCAGCCGTCTATCATTCCGCTGGATGCATTGCTTTGCATGGGTAGCGGCTGGGGGTCGGGCTTAGCCTACCCTTTTGAGAGTGTTTAAGGGAAAACCCGACTTTCCGCCGCTCCCCGAATCCCGCCCGCTTGGCGCGAACCATGCCTTTGGATCGCTGTCCCCGTTTTTCAACCCCAAATTCCCAGGTGCCGGGCGAACTTTTTCTGCGCAGGACCTGGTGGAGCAGTGTATCTATTCCTTGGGCGACCACAGCACCTACCTGAGGCGCTGGTCCTTGGCGAGCTTTGGGCCGGGGATACCGCGGCTGTTGTGGGGGGAGCGGTCAGGGTTCAGTCAAAAGGTCTAAGAAGCATAGCTCCAATCCTTCCATTTTGCGTTTCAGAATGTATGTCTTCCCTCTTGGTTTCAAAAGGGAAATGAGATCACTGCTAAAAACATGTTATTGGTTCCGGGGACTTGAGCAAATGGACGGCGAGGGTTCCGGAACTCTGCAAGAACCCGTGTTGTAGAACACACCACAGGTCGCCTGTGGCTAACTGCGCTTATGTGAAGGCTGGACAGTCTCCACCATGGGTGCAGATATCTGTAATTCTGTATCTGGTTTTGGTCCATTTCAATACCAGGTTTTGTGGCATGGGGTTGGCCCCATGGCAACCCAAAATCCAACTTTCTCGGTGTCTCTCTCTCTCTCTATGACCTAGAGGTCTGCGAGACCACGCGGAAAACCACATGGGTGTCTTTGTTTTTTCAGGCCAAGACGGCTTCGGTAAACTTCCTGCTGCTTTCCCTTCAAAACAGAAAGGGCGCTGATGCGGGTCCAGTAAAAACCATGTCTCGGGATCCGAAGATATGGTTCAACCCACCATTCAGACATGGGGGCCAATAACCAAAAAGACACCACTCGGTGAAAATGGGGATTCCCATTTCGGCAGGTTCAACCGTGAGCCCTGCGATCGCTTGCTCCACTTCCTCAAGGAAACCGACACCGGAATCGACTGCTCTGGGCGGGGGGGTGAGTCTCGGGCGGGGGGGGGGAGTTTTCTGTGAGGAGGGGAGGGGGTTCCAAGACCTCCAGAGGTGCCATTTTCCATTTTTGTTTGTTCTTTATTTCTTTTGGGGGGTGTCCCTTTCAGAACGGGCTACCGGGGCGCCGAAGCTTGCTCATCCTTTTGGTAAGCCTTTTGGGGGAGTTCCCAGCGGAGGAGGTGCTTCCATGTCAGACAGTTGTCTGGAGTACGCCAAAGAGTTGTTGGTTTTGTTCCGGATGTAGTCTACCACAAAATACGGTGTCTTTTTTGGAGCAGGCGTAAGTAGTCTTCCAGAAAGCGACCAGGAACATCCTAAACACCAGCTACAGTGCTGGAAGCTAGCCAACCGGTTTAGGCCAACTTCCTGTGGAAGTTCCTCAGAAGACTCGCCACGACTCACCGGCATGAAGCCCAGTTGTTCTAGTGGTAAAGCGACTAGTTTGGACGTTTTCGGCCAATCAGCTCGAGAGAAAAGCGTGCAGATCGCGAGAGAACACCTGAGACCTCTTGGGAGGAGATGGGTTCTGAGAACCAAGGCCCCATGTTTTTTTGTGGCGTTTCGCCGCCATGGTAGTGAACCCAGGGAAAATCTAGAGCTACGGATCACGACGAATTCTCTAGTATGGTGTCTCTGGAAGCACTGGGAAAGGTAGAGTTTTTTTTTGTCCCAGGGAAGGTTCCGACTGGGTTGATGAAGGAGTAATTCCCATACTGAAGATATGTAGAGGAACAACTCACTCCCTGAGTTCCTGGACTTTCGTCACTTTTTTTCGGGTTTGGACCATTTTTTGTGGTTCACCAATCGCTTGGTTCCTTCTTCACTCTTGCCCATGCGCTGGGGAGAAGGCGTCGGAGGTTCCGAGACCTTGGGCTTCAGGAGTTCTTCGACCCCAACGACCCGGGCCCCGACCCCAAGCTCGGAGCTGAGAGCAAAGGAATGAATGCCGCCATGTTGGCGGGGGGAGGCGGGTTGGTGGGCCTTTGCTGGGGCTGGCTGGGTCAAAGCGGGGAGGCCGTAAAAAGCGTGTTGTCGGATCAAAAGACCAACTGGGCGTGGCGTTTCTGAGGCCAGAATGGTGGTTTTCCTTTTGGTTTCCTGTAACACCAACCCAAAAGGGCATCCTCAACAGACACGCTCAACTAATGGGAGCCCCAAATTGATAAACCCGGCCTGTGCCGGGCCCGAAGTGATCCGGATTCCGAAAGGGACCCGATGCACAACACAAACCCGAGATCAACATGAACCACTCTGGAAAGCCGTATGCGCATTTTTGGTGGCCCAAGCCGTATGCACAGAAACAAAAGCACGTCACATATGGGTTGCCAGGACTTTTATATATATATATATTTAAACAAAAAGACAAAATACATTTTTTTGTTTTTAATTTATCACGCTTGCCCTTTTGGTTTCCCTTTCAGCGAGCAAAGCCACACTTTTTCCGGGTCCAAGGGGCCCTTTGCGAGGCCGACCAAGGGTCCAGTGGCTTGGGTGACAAATGGCCAGCTGAAGCCGCCAGTTTTTTGAAGGTTGACCAAAGATATGGTTGTGACTTTTTGAGACTTGGACCCACCAAAGTGGTTGGCGGGACATAAGCCCCCGAGCTTTGCTGTCCGCCATTTCGGGTCGCCAAAAAACACACACGCACACACACACACACACACCCATATGAAACAGAAATAGAAAATTAGAAAAGTGCAGGTTTCTGCACTGTTTGGCTAGTCTTTCTCCCCACAATGTAGTAGCCCCTTTTCTTTGGACCAGGCCGGGTGTCACTTTTTGTTGGGTTGCCAAGTTCTCAATTTTCTAGGTGCCCTTTGGTATTCAACCCCTGGAAAGGTCCCAAAGAGGCTTTACACGGAATGGGAAGTGTCGGAGGGAGCAGCGCAGCCAGATTTGGGGCTCCAGAGGGTGCCGCATGGAATCGCATCCATCGCGTGTAATCGAATCGCCCCCAAAGGAGAGGCCTGTTGGAAACAAGTTGGACTTTTCCATTTCACCTACAAAAGGTCGATCAGGAATTTGTCACTTCCGGAATTCAAATGGTAAAGTGGAGACACACCAGACGCTTGTGATTCTGCCCGTAAAACGAGGGACTCTACCGACCTTGGTGTAAAACGACCGTAAACCTATGAAGGTCCTTGTCTCGGGGATCAGTCTTTTTTGTTTTTCTTCTTCATATTTTTGAGTTAGTACAAGCAATGCAAAGACCCGGGGAGACTTACTCATTTTCTCAGGTCCTTTTCTATATGTTTTCTGGTTTGGGACTTTGGCGGTCGAATCTGCAGATATTGCAGTCAAAGGGTTAGTTTCGGGTCTCCCGGGGATGTGTTGACCACCTTTGTGGTTCCTGATCAAAGCATTTTTCGGGTCTCCAAACCGAAAACTATGTCATATTTCCCAGTGCTTCCAGTTACCAGTAGGTATCCCTTTGGGCTTACCTGCTGCTGCACGGAGCTTCGACCCGAGCCACTTCGACGTGCATGGGCGACAGCTGGCCGACACTTCCCAAAGTCTCCGCGGAAAAGCTCCGCACCTTAGACTGGGATGTGGAGCCTCATTGCGGCGTGACCTACGAGGAGGCTTTGTTCCTCATGAGCTGAAGAGTCTCAGGGCGCCTCACAGGTTGAACTCCTGCGCGGAAGGGTCACCGCCGGGACTCGCGCTGGCAATCCATGTTGAGGCTCCGAAGGGTTAGGTTGACACCCCACCAACTAGGAACCAGCTGACATGACTTTTGGTGCACCCTTGGCTTAGAGAATAAAACATCCCAAGCCTCGAATAAGTTTGCGAGCCCCCTTCCTTCCGAGTGGAGCTTCTTTCTACCCAAAAACTGGACGCCCCCTTTCTAGCAGTGCATCACCTGTTTGTCAAATGGGCCCAGCGTTTTCCTTGGCCCTGCCTGAGAAAAATCTGCATGAGGTTTGGCCAAAATGGTCAGCAGTCTATGTTCTGTTTGCGGGGGGAAATGGCGGACGAGCCTTGAATTTGGTACAGCGGACCAGCTCTAAATCTGCCATGCCCAATTGGAAACAAGTGAGTAGCGCCGAACACTAAAACAAATTATTTTGCCATTGAAAAAACCCTATTGTTTAGCGCTTCTGGGTGTGTCAAAACAAAGAACGCCTCGAATGGCGAGTTTCGAATTGAATTTTTCGCGCACGCCACTCCAACAGGGGTACCCACAAAAACACAATTTCTATATCGGGCTGTCTGTTTATTGGGACACCCTTTTAGAGGTCGCTTCCAGTGAAAACTAAAGGACACCTTTCATTTTTTGGGGCTCTACTTCGAGCCAAGCCCATGTAAATGTCTCCTTTTGTTGGGGTGCCCCATCTTTGCTGGGTTTTTGTCAAAGGAAAGTTAGAGGAAGACCTCCTTGGTGCCCCATCTTTGCCACTCTTTGTTAAAGGAAAGCCACAAAAAGACCACCACTTTGACCTTTGGGGGGGGAGGGGGGCATCTGGCCATCAACGGCTCAGGTGCTCCCTCGCCATTGAGGAGGGTGTGAACGGGGCGCGCCGCTGCCCCAGAAACGCGGCGCGACACAACTGTTTTCATGGACACCAGCTCCAGGTAATTCTAGAGGACATGTGCCCAAAACCTCCACCCCCGCATCATTTTTCAGACTTTCGGTTGGCTGTTGAGGGTTTTTTTTTTAAAGGAAACCAGGCATTTTCCGGGTGGGGATGATTTTTTTTGCTGGCACTAAGCCGGGGCACCGATTCACCCGGTTCCAATAAACGGTTTCTGATCGCTTGCGGCAAAATACAAATTGTTTGTGTAGCCTCCTAGCAAGCATTGGTTCCCCCCCAAAAAAAAGAGGAAAGAAAGGGGTTTCCTTAAAGTGGTTGCAAGAGAAGTGGATTCTCAAAATAACTCTGGGTGGTTCTTCCCCTATATAGCGTGGGTAGTTCAAGTGCCACTTGTCTGGCACCCAGTTCAAGCGGCATGGACACCGGTGCAACTCTCCAGTCCTTGCCGCCGGAACGAAAAAAAACTAAGCGCGTCCTATTGGCAGGGGGTTCTCCAAGAGGGATGCCCTGGAAAATGCCGGCACATTGGAACACCACTCCCGGTGCAGGTACCATAGTAAGTACCCAGAGGTAAGGATCCTGAAGGGTTACCTATTCTAGTGGCTGGAAGAGGCGGGATTGACCTGCAAAGGAGAGCAGCGAATCGGAGCACCCAGGCAACGATTTTCACCGCAAGGTCACGTTCGGAGCAACTGCTACCACTGAGCCCATCCATTTTCAGCCAACTTCACCAGAACAGGGTCGAACTCCTGCATTTCCGTTTTGTTTCACAAGTGGCTGTGGCTCAAACAAGATTTGCCAACATGGCACCTGGGTGAAAGGAACCAACGACTAAACCCCGCGTACCCCCAGCTCTTTAATTTTGACCCATATCCAAATGCAGTCCCGAGGCCTGTCGCACCCGCACAACCGGCAATACACCTTCGTGCTGCAGTCCATGACTTTGTGGCGGGAGGCCCGTGTTTCTTCTTCTTCTTCTTCTTTTTTTTTTTGGTGCGTTTTTGAGAGCGAGCCAAACTGTACGCGTGTGTGTCTGTGTGTGTGTGTGACATCTTTTGGGGCGCCTCAAACAAAAAACCCCACACCCAAAGGTGTGGTGTTTTTTGGAGGGTACCCCCACAACACCCCCCCCGAAGTTGGGATCGATGTACGGATGGGCTCTGAGCCGGCCCGAAATCTGGGTCTCCTCCAAGACGGATGGTGCGCCGACATTTTGGGGCACTCGAAATGTGGGCCATTCTTTGAACAGTTTGGGCGCATTTTTTTTGGCGCCGGACGTCCAAGATTCGATATGTTAGGGTCTCCCAGCGCCTGCTTCAGGGTCAGGAGGCCTTCATTCGTTTCCGGTGCACGAAACGTGGCGCATTTGAATATCTTGGTTTTTTGGTGCATTGGGGGGGGTTGGGCCGAGACATGGGTAAGGGGGAACCCTCAAAACTGGAGTGGGTTTCGCTGCTTTTCCCAGCTTGTCAGGGGCAGCAACCTTTTCTCACAGGCTGCTTGATGCTAAAATGGGGCTCCCGGATATGTATCCTAGCGGGCTCCCCCTGGCACAAATTGTGCCACCTATCCGGCCGGGGTATTTACCGGCTCTCGCAAAACTACACACCCCGCTCGTTTTCTTCTGCATGTAGTAGGCCTTCCTCTTCCACTTGAAACTTTCTCAGCCTTTTCGCACATCCTATCGCCACGCCAGCAGTCTGCTTCGCAAGCCACACCGGCCACCACCAGTGCGTCCACCTCATCGATGGGCATGGTACCCTTGAAGGCAGTCGCCTTCCCCACCAACTCTGCTCCAATCACCGCCAACAGCTTTATCTTTGCCCCGAAGCCACCCGCAATAACCTCCTTCTCCTGCACGGTCTTCCGGGTCAAAAAACCCTTCTTGATCACCTTCGTCCCCATCGGCATGCCCAGGTCTTGCCTGAAGCGCTCAAAGGCCTGGCCATTCAACGCCTTGGTCATGCCGTCCGCAACCAGCTGCTTGCCGGGCAAATGTGTGAGCGCCCAGCCCCCGTCCTCTAATGCCCAGCGAAGGGAAGCAGCTCTTATCCTTAAATGCCTCGTCCTCCAACTGCCCGAGCCGTTGGATGCCAGAGCCCCCGTAGATCTTTGCTCACCCAAGATCACCTCCAACAATGCCGCTGTCGCTCTCCCCGCCACCAATGACTCGCAGTACCCAATCAGCTCCGCCTCCGCTGTGGATTGCGCCACAAAAGGCTGCTTTGTCGCCTCCCAGGCGATCGGCGAGCCCGCGAAGTAGACCAAGATCCCCTGCACGCTCTTGTGATCACCCGCCGTGCCGTAGCTGATGTCCGAAAACACCTCCAACAGCTTATCATGCCGCTTCACACTCAAGTGGTCTCTCGCGCCCCATCCAGACGCCTTCGTGTACTTGAGGCCCACTTCCGTCGTGCCATTCACATGCGTCAGCAGCGCCACCCCGACCTCGACCACCTGCTTTGGGCTTTTCATGCTCCGCGCCATCGTGGCAACTCCTGGTGATCTCGAACTTCATGTTCCACTTCACCGAATCCTCATCTTCCCCAGCCCAGGCCATCTTCTTGAGTGTACCGTCCCTGTGTACACCCCAGTCCTTCGGACTTGTGTTCAGGCCGTAGACCGCCTTGTCGATGATCCACACTTCATCCTTCTTGGCAGTCCAACCTCCTTGAAGATGTTCGGCACCTCTATCACTACTGTCTTTGACTCATCTCTCCGAGGTGCATGTAGAAAGGCGGTTCTGATATCAGTCCCTGCCAAGGACCAATTTCTCATAGCGGCCATCTTAGCCAGGCATCTGATCTGAGTAGCGTCCGCTCCGGAGACATAAGTGTCCTCCTTTGCCGTGCTGCTGGCAAAGTTGCCGCACACCACCACACGGACTTTCCTCCTCCCATCCGGGGCCTTCCTTGTGCACACTGCCTTTGATGGCAGGAATTCAACCACCCCCGGCAGCTCGTCAATCTCCCTTCTCTTCACCGGTCTCACCGCCTTCAGCTCCTCGGTCATAGCGATGTACTCCTTCTTCGCAGGAGCAACCCGCTCTTGCAGTTCCGACCTCACCTCCTGCATTCCTACTGTTTTCGTGACCCACCATTCCTCCTCCAAGCGGTCTGTCTCCTCAGCCTTGATCTGCCTGAGCTTCACTTCCAACTCAGTCCTTTCTCGCACGCCCTGCCTTACCACCGGCAACCACCACTCCTTGCCCTCATTCACGCCATCCAGGATATCTCCTCCGCCACCCATGTAGTAAGGTTCCCGTGCACCTGCTCCAAAAAGTTACCAGCACTGGCCCCTTCCTCCTTCACATAGTCTGCCTCCCCCTCGACGCGCATCGTCGACACCGCCTGCTTCCCACGCAGACGCCTCCGCTTTGGCGCCAAGAGGTCCGCCTCTTTCCGTTCCTCCAAGTCCACGGCCTCCTCTACCTCAATGTCCACCTCAGGGGGCTCCGGGATTGCATCCGTAGTGGAAAAGTATCTACCATCCACACAGCTCCGCACCCAATATCCCTGGTAGCGCTTCTTCTTCACATAGGCGGACGCCGCAAAAGGCAACAGTGGCTTCACGGGGTGTCCCAAGCTCCGAAGTTGACCCCGCAACATCCTCTCAGCCACATACCATAATGCCAAGGGCCACAGCTCCACCTTCTCTTTTGAGGCACAGAGGATAGTTCTGGTCGCCCTCTTCAATGCCCCCACGACCTGTTCTGCACGGCCGTTTTCTTTGTAGCTGTCGCCAGGCAGCGTTGTCTTGTAGATGCCCCGCTCCTCCGCAAACTTCCGGATCGGTGCAGAGACCAGTTCACGCGCCCTGTCCGAATGCAAGCGCATCACCGGCAATCCCAACGCCCGCAACCTGGCGTACATTCGGGCTATAGCCCTCAGCACGTTCATCGCCTTGCGGTCCTCCACCGGCTCTGCAAAGACCAAATTCCGGATCATGAAGCTCACCGCTTCCTCTACCAGCTTTTTCCACTTCCTCCAATCTCCTTCATCCTTTTCCTTCTCTTTCTTGGTTCCATGTCCCCGTCCACCTCCTGTAGAAGATCTCCTTCCTCAGGTAGTGACTGCTCCTCCTCTTCGCGAACCAGCGACCTGCCCGTCATGTCCACCGGGTATGTATACACCCCAACCAAGAAGTAGGCCACTTTACCACGCTGGTCCAGGCCCTTTTTCAGCTTCCCCGCAAATCCACCGCTAACGTGAACGCTTCTGGGTGCGTAATCGGCTGGTGTGGTCTCCCGCGACCCTGCGTCTGAACGCAGGCCCTGCAATCCCGTCTCGCCGGCATGTGGTCGTTGGCGAAGTGCTCCTTCCACCGCTGCATCTCCTCAGCCCGCAAGGGCCTCATGTGCGGCTGCTTCAGGTGCTTCTTGACCGCGTTCATGATCTCCAGTTTCAACCCAGGGGCCCAGCAGGCCCAAGACTTTGACTGCTGGATCCGTTTTTCAAGGCTTCCATTCCAGTCCTCCTCCCCCGTGCCTGCACCAGTCATGCCATCCAAGTGGTTCAGGTACGGCACGTTCACCCCCAACGCAGTTGGCTTCCTCCTCCGATGTCCCAGCGCTCCCTGGTCGCATCTGATCAGGTTCATGCCATACTCCTGCGCGAAGGTCCTCCACTCCTGGAACCGCCAAACACTGACGTAGTCCGGGTTGCCGTCATCCCTGTACTCTCCCGGGTCCCGAGGCTGCTCCTTGACGAACATCACCTTGTCCTCTGTGGATGCCTGGCACACCACGTGCAAGGTGAGCATCCTCAGCCACAGCACCGCATCCCCCTAGACCATCTCCTTCTCATACGGATTCAGGCCCTTCTTGCCGTAGGGCTCCTCCTCCGACTTCACCGGCCTGGGCCCAGGGCTCCTCGTCTGGCAAGCCGAAACCGTCCTGCACGGAGGACCGCCCAACTTTGACCCTTCCAGTCCTGGCCAGCTTCAACAGGTACGCGAAGACCTGCGGCCTATGAAGGTCCTGGCCCGGATCGATGGCCGTGTCCATACAAATCACCGCCACCCCATTCCCTTCCAGACCATCCATCCACTCCTTCTCCTTCGCCCCCGCGAACAGGTGGATGACCAGGTGTTCTGCCCTTTCGAACGTCCGCCTCCTTCTCCTGTTCCATGGCAGGGCGTCTCCCTCGACCTCCATACATGGCACCACCCGGCTCATGATCTCATCTTCTCTTCCATCAGCTCCATCTCTGCAATGAGATCCAACGCGACCTTGGCATCCACCATTGGACAACTGTCCATCATCTCCACCTCCAGGCTTTGGCCCTTGTGTCGGACTCTGCAGTTGCCCTGTTTCCACTCCACCTCGTACCCCATCATGGTCAAGACACCCATGGGCACAACTAGCTGGATGTCCTCCTGCGTCATCAGCGTGAGGGTTCCTTCCTTCAACCTCATCTTCGAAGTGGTTCTCTCCGCCAAGAACACCGGCGTGGGCGTGGCAGCTTCCCACTCCTCAGGGTCTCTTGAGGAGTGGGAAGCTGCACTTGCGCAGGGCATGCGTTGCCCCTCCATCCAGACCCTTGTCGACCACTGCCGACCCACCACCGCCACCTGCTCGAGCTCCTCCCCCCGAGCCGTCACTCGGCTCGTGAACAGCGGCCCTGACCCCGGGCTTCACTGACTGGCCCTTTCCGCTACCCTTCACCGGGCAATCAACTCGACGATGCTGCTTTGACCCGCAGATCCACTGGCGTTCCTGTCCACGATGGAGTCCCAATCGTGGTTCCATTTGCACCCTTTTCCCAAGCGGCAGCCCTGCTCGGACCCAAAGTACCTGCAGACCACCGTACCCGTCTCCTTTTTCGCACGAATCTCCGCAGTCGACTTCTCAGCCGTCGCCTCCGCGGCCATTGCCTTTACCCTGGCCGGCTCCGCGCTCATCAACCTCGCTGTGTCCATCTCCGCGAGCAACAACTCCGAGTAGCTCCAAATGCCCTGCACCGTAGGCGCGGTATCCAACCCCAGCTGCGTCCGCGCTTGCGCCACCCGGAAAGCCTGCGGCCCTCCGCGATTCACCAGCTGCGTCACCTTCTCCAACGCTGCAGCAAAGAGGTAGGGTCCGGCAACGAGGCTCCTATCTCCTGACCTCAGATAGTACCTCCTCCATTCCCGCAAGGCTCCAGCCGCTTCCCCGAAGTTCCTGAGCGGCCCCAAGTCTGTGAGCTTCCGAAGGATGGGAGACCTTTCCCACGGTCCGCCCGGCTGGTATGTAACCAGCAGTCTATACAAGACACTCGTATAGAGCTGATGTCTCTGGAAGAGATCAGTTCTTTCCTGATCTCCGCCGGTATCGCCCGCAGCAATAAGGTCACTCCTCTCTGTTCCGTCCGGACGAACCGAAGGCCACGAAGAGCCTCCGGCAGGGCCACCTTTAGCTGCAAGCGTTCCAGCGACGAGCTCTTCAACCAAACCTCGTAGATCTTCTTCACCTCCTCCATGGTGGTCAACCACCATTCCGAAGCCCCCTGGGACAAGTCCTGCGTTTGCGGCGCCACCAGCGCGAACCAATCCCCCAAGGGTGAGCGGGGAGTATTCATACGCCAGCTCCGGGAGTTCCACCTTTGCGCTGGCCCCCCCAATCTCCACCTGATCGATCAGCTTCGTCTCCGCCTTCTGGTTCGGGTCCTGATTGTCCCAGTTCCTGTACCACCAGCCACCAGAAGCCTGCTGCTAGTCTTCCCACCTTGCCTGCCATCTCTCCGGCTCAACCACGGCATTCTCCATAGGTACAAAACAATTTCCAAATCCTCCAAACAAGCCAGGCATTACTAAAAATAATATCATAAGAAAGCCATGCAATGTAATGCTTATATTATAGAAGTTCTGGTTTTCTGGAGATATAATCCTATTTCCTGATGAATATACTTCTATTCTTATAAGGACTGATATTAATGTACCGGAGATTCCAAAGATGAATCCAGAGAATAAATAATAGAGTCCTAAGCCTTTATGATTACATTTTTTAACTAGTGAATGAAATAATGTAGTAAAATAATATGACCTGGAAAGATAAAGTGGTTGATGATAAATCTTTTATTAGCTGTTATCTGTCTTTTTGCTTACAATAATATCTTTCTTTGTTGGGTTTCTTATCTCCATGTAAATCCTAACAATAAAAGAGGAGGTTATGATGGGTAATGAAAGCTGGAATTTCTTTAAGATTCATTCCTTACTGTCTTATTCTCTTCCTCGTCAATTGGATGGTGTCCTTCATTCCATCTCTCACCTAACAGATTCCCAAGTCCAGGAAAGAATCATTAAGATAATGACCATCCAATATTAGCTGATTTCTGAGTCAATGAGATATGGATGGGTAATTGGATATAGGATTAATAATCTGATGAAGGTAGATTGTAAGGTTTAAAACATGAGAATTACATCATAAAATAATCAACGAAAGAAGAAGAAAAGCAACAATATGAAGAAGTCTTTTATCTAAGATTTGGATAGCTTTCATAATTTCATCCAAATGTCTTAATTAGAGACTCATAAAGAAGAAGTAGATAGAAGAAAGAGATGTAGCACTCACAAAGACATCTATCACCTACAATCTATTTCTCTCTTCTTCATTCCTAATCTCTTTATTATTAATTGGTTTTATGATGAGATTTCTCTTTTATTATCCTTTCATTTTTATAATATGTCTTTCTTGTCTTTTCCTTTTCATAATTTCAATATTTAATGGTAATAAGATGAAGATAGGAAAGACAAATGAAAAATATAAAAGAAGAATGATGATGAAGAGATTATGAAAAGAGACCTGCAAAGATACTATTCCCTTCATTCCACACCTCTCCCAACCATTAAATCCTGGAAGTTGGGAGATGAATGAAGGGATACATGACCCAGCTCCTTTAACCCGCTGTAACGACAATATGATGGAGGCTTACCAATTTTCCAGGATTAACAGACGGGAAATGCCTCCAATCATATCGCTTCTCTGTCTCCATCCATTCCTTTCCCGGCCTTTTTGTATCTCTAGATGAGGCCGTGGGATGCATGTAGGAGAAGGAGAGGCATTTTATAGAAATATTATGGTTATTTATCTTTCTAGTCTTTTATTATTTATTATTTACCTTTGCCATCTCCCTTTGGTCGCTAATAAAAGAATCCTTGAACACAATGCAAATAATGAATTCTTCTAAACAATGCAAATAACTTCAATAACAACAAAATATAGAAATATGACCATAATAAAATATAATTGATTCCTTGTAAGCATGTAAACTTCAGAATCTTGGAAATTCATATATTTTATAATCTACAGCTTTAGAAATCCACCGGCCATCATATGCCGGATAATCCTAGAGACACAGGAACTAACCAGATGCTACATCAAGGATTTTACAGACAACCGTCTATAACCAAGAATTTCCGAGAGAAAGCTATCCATCTCTATATCCTGTTTACCTACCATCATCCACCGGCCATCATATGCCGGGTAATCCTAGAGAAACTTCAATAAAAGCAAATTATCTTTATCTTATTGTATTTATCAGAGTTTACTATTACTTTTCATTTTAATGTTGTTATCTTTTCCAAATCTATTTATTTATTGTAAACTTTAGAATCTTGGAAATTGCTATCTCTTTCTTGTAAACCATTAAATCCTGAAAACAGCTGTCATCTGTCTAATCTGCATGCCTTTCCCTCGCTCACAGATACTCGCGAACAAAGGGAGCGAGGGACAGCCTCGCCCTCTGGAACCTTGGTTCCACCAGGTGTCCACCTCTGCCCTCTCAGAGGCGATCGCGTCCGTGCTCTCGGTGTACTTGTCGGCCTCGATGTGGGCCTTGCCATAGGCATCGGTGGAGGCGGTGGTGGCGGCAGCAGGGGGGTCACCATCATCGCCATTGGCGTCTCAAACGTCTCCGCGGCAGGCGTCTCAAACTTCTCCTTGTCCGCCAGCTTGGCTCTTTCACGCTCTGCTTGTTCAGCCCGCGCTTTCCACACCCGCGCGTTCTCCTGCCATTTCCTCACCTCTCCCTCCAACTCCTGGATGATCCCGAAGAGGCACTCCCGCTGCTTCTCCATTCCCATCAGCTTTTTGCACGCCCTTCCGTAGTTCCGCTCCATATCTTCGAACAGGTCCATCTCGCCGATCAGCTCTTCCTCGTCATTGGGGCGTTGAGCTCTCTCCGGAATCCATACCTTGTGCTCGTCGTTCCAGGCCCAGTCCAAGTCCAGACCACGGCCCGCCCATTTCCACCTCCTCGCTGCATCATCGCTTGCCGCAGCTCCGGACTGTATCTCGACCTCTTCCGCCCAGGATTCCAGATCTCCTGACAGCCTTCTCCCAGGCGTCTTCTGCTCCGTGTTGCTCTTCGTCCTGCACCATCCGATCTTGCTGATGAGCCTGTCCCCGACGTAGTTCTTCGCCATCACTCGGCCTCGGTACTGGCCTCTCTCGTCGTTCTCCACCAGGCCGTAGGGCTCGCTGGTCTCCTCGCCCATCCTGTTCACTGTAGTGCTCGTGCATCAACCACAGGAGGCCCCCGAAGTTCCCCTTCTCGCCCCATTAACCTGCCGCGCATCATCCCAACCCTCTCCATGCCTCTTCCAGGCATCCCACGGCCCTCACCGAGCCGCTCATCCTCTCCTTGTTGAAGTCCACCTCCATTCCCATGTGGTAGAGCTCCTTCACCTCTTCCTTGTTCTCCACCTAGGTGATGTTCTCTTTGTGGATGGCGCCCTCCGTTGGCCATCTCAGCCACCTCTGCGCCCTCCAGTTCCACGGTCAAGTCTCTCCTGACCTCGCTCCAGAACTCTTCCGACCTCGTTCTGCTTCCAGCAGCCTCAGGGTGAATACCAACTCCCTCACGTTCTCGCCCAGGAAGATCTCCCTCAGGAGCGTCACCGGCACCTCCCCAAGCGTTCATCTCATTCTCGACTCTCCGGGGGCTCACGGTATCCAGGACCTTGGGCAGACCCTCAGGTCTCATGGCATTCAGCTGCTCCAGAAAGGGTTTACACTCACCCTCGGCCGCTGTCCTTCTTCTCGAGCGCCAGGCCGTTCACCTTCTTGCTGAATTTCCAGCTCTTCTTCCCGCTCGGCCACCACGACGTCCGCATCTGCACTTCTTGCTCTCCTCCTTCTCAGCATCCCACCGTCCATGTTCCGACAGGGATGCTTAGGGTCTTGGGCTCATAACCCTTGTCAGGGGCAGCAACCTTTTCTCACAGGTGCTTAAATGGGGCTCCCGGATATGTATCCTAACTGGCCCAGAAAAAAGACCACTCCCAAAAAAACACAAGATCTGCGCGATGCCACCGAACGTGTCGCAAGGGAGGAGCTAATTGTCCACGTCCGCCATATGCGTTCGCCATTGGTATGCTTGAAACGCATGTGTTAATCCTTCAGATCTTTTGGACTGAGAGATGTTCTATTCAATTGGAAGGTGATCGACATTTCTTCGCTGTGGGGCGATGCCTCACTCAACTCCAGGTTTGCCTAAGCCTTTGGAACCACTAGTCCTGGGTGGACATTCACATGCGGATTTGCGGCCACCAGCCATTTTGGAGGGTTTTGCCCATATAGCCATATGGGTTTGTGTCAAAGGGGAACACCCCAAACAGGTGTTTTCCTTTCAGTTTGCCTCTAAACGTTTGGCCCTCGGTGCCAGGTCCTTGACAACATGTTCCAGCTTTGGCATATTGCCGAAGAGGCTCGATTGGTCGACTGACTCACCGCCCAACCCGAAGTGGGGTATCAGAAGAGCGGTAACCCCCACAAAATGGTGGTTTCACTGGTTTCTCTTTTAGGTTCTATCAAAACCAACCCAAAGAAGGGTACCCTCAAAAAACACACCCAGCTTTTTCCAAATGGGATGCTTCTAGCAGTTACTAACAGTTACTAGCAGTCGGTGAAATCCTATTGGTGTGCATGCCATCAAGGTCGGGAAATCCGCACAGTTTTCGGAAGCTCAATTGCCCAAGCAGGGTTCCTCAAGAAGGGGTGGTGTCTTATCCTCAAAAGGGTGTTCCTCAAAAATGACGAGCCGCGACTTTGTTGCAGCGGGTATTTCCGGAGTCAGCTTCAGGTGCACAACGTTTTCCTCGCTTTTGGAAGCCTCCTCTCTTGGGAAAACACAAACTTTCAGTGGTACCCTCCTTCCAAGTGGTCAAACGATTGTGTTGCCAAATGGAAAGTAGTCATTCCCTAAGCATCTTGGGTTCTCTAAGAGGTCCAAAACCTTCCAATGGAGGTCCCTTTCCACCTTCAATGGAGGGTTCGCTGATGCTTAGTGTTCAGCATTTTCCGATCAGCTTCCCTGATTCTTGGACAGAGCGTAAACAGGGCGGGAAGCAGGTTGGGAACGAAGGCCTCTGAGAGAGAGGTTTTAAGAGCCCTTTTGTTTCGCATTTCCCATGCAGACGCGGATGAGGCGGTATCTGTGTCTATTGGGTTCTCAAGATGCGTCTGAGAGTTCTTTGGTGCTGAATCTGTGAGGGTGCCGAAGGAAGACCCTCCTAATCAAATTGGCAAAAGGGACGTCGTGTTGGCTTCCCAAACGTGGAACCCAAAAAGCGTCCCCCCCAGAAAAAAGGAAGAAAGCAAAAACGAAACGGAGACACACACACACACATGGGTATCGAGACCAAAGTGCTCACCCAAGTTTCGGGACTTGTATACTTGGGAGCACAATGCGAGTGGCAAGCTTTTTCCGTTTGGACTCTTCTTGGCCAATCCATGAGTGGAAGGTATGACGCACTGAGAGCCGGTTGCAGACACCTCTTGAGTCGGCGAAAGTTTCTCGCTTCAGCCAGTTGGGCAAAAGTCATAGGCATAGGGGTCCTTTTGATCAGTGAGTTTCGATAGAATTATAACAGGTGGGTGCAGCAAACAACGCCAGACCGAATTGCAGAATACACAAGAAACGACCCCTGATTGCAGAAGCTGAGACAGCATGTACCCATTGCATCCTGCAACCATGTGCTCTTCCGTGCCCGTTGAGCCTACGCTACTTCGTGGTTTGCAACTTCCCACTTGAAGCCAGCATGCGCATGGCTTGAAATTGGCTCCCCCCCCTTCAGATGTTTTTTTTCAAAACAACGAGGCATCCGACGAGCAGCAATTACGGGATCCCCTTCCCTTGTTCCAAGATGGGGCCCACTTCCCCCAAACCCAAGCCCTGCACAGGTTTAGTGGGATCTATAGCCGCAATTTTGGGGTATAGGAATAGCTTCGGTTTGCGCGGGGAGGCCATCTTAGACTGGGTTTGAGCTCACTCAGGAACCCTTGGAGCCCTTGGGTTGGCACAAGATGCCGAGCAAACCACTGGGGCTTGGGATAAACAAATCTGGGTTGGTCTCAACGTTGAGGCCGAAAAAAAAAAGAGCGGCTTCCTTTCGGTTCTCCTTCAACCACCAAAAGTCGGTTCCCTCCACAAAAGACACGCCATATGGCCACCGGAGGGGAACACAACCCTTGTTTCATTGGGATCCCAGTGGTTCAATGGACACCCGAGGATCCCGCCCTCGACAGCGATCAAGCACCGCGCGGTCGCGCGGCTCCGCCGCCTCGCTCGACAGGACCTGCTGGACGACGAGCAACAGTACCAGCTCGCCGACACTGGCCAGGGCCACCAACGAGTCTGGAGCCCCGAGAGAAGAGTTGCAAGCAAACGCAAGCGAGTCATGAGGAGCCTGGACTGTGGCATCCTGAAAAGAGGCAAAGGAATGTATGTGTTTTTTTTGGTTCCGTTTTTTGGTTTATATATATAAGTACATATAGTTGGTGTTGCTGTAGTACATATGTATATACACATGTATGCTCAAGAAACAAATATAAAATATATCTTATTGGGTGAACCTGGCCCTGTTGCCATTGCTGCCACAGATTTCCGGGGGCGTGTTCTACCATGCTTGTGACGAGGCTAGAATCTAGGCTACAGGACATCCTTCTGGGTTCCCCCAAACACAGCAAGGGGTGTGTGGATTCTTGGATA